GGACGGGACACAACTAAGCAAATCCCAGACTCTTCCCAGTTCTGCTAGTGATGATTTCAGGCTGTCCTTTCCCACCTGTGCCTACTGCATACTAACAGCAGACCAGACCAAGCACAGGCTCCTTTACAGAATAGAGAAATATTAAGCTTCCTACATGATTTTCCCTAAGCTGGTAGCTGTTAATAACCTCCAAGTGCTTTCTTGCAAACGCTAGGCCATAACAGAACAAGATATGCAAAGCTCCACTCCAGTCATTTTCAGTAGACAGACAACAACATCAGAATTAACTTTCAATCTAAATCCACACGGCAGGTCTGAATTATAGTAGAAGCACATCCATCTGAAGTTTGATTGTGATTAGTAGCTCAGACATCATTATAGGTGGCTGCGAGATGACAGATGGTGACATTGCGTCAGCTAAGGCTAACAATGGAATCCATTTGAAGGGGAAGAATTGAACATACCCGCTTCTCTCTCCTCTTCAGCCTGACAGCTTTCACCACAGAGGAATCCCAGTCCTGTGGGAAATACACAACACTGGTTAGCTCAGTGTAAATACCATACAGCCTGTGGCCAGGACTTTCATTATGTTTTAGCCAATAGCACACCAGAGAAATGCAAATCAGCTCTACCAGTTTAAGACCACAGTAATCTAAACACAAGGGGCCTCTAGAGATTAGCCCAAGCCCCTAAGGTTTTACAGTGGAGGAAAACTGAAGAACTTGGAGTTACATTACCAGTGACTCATCAGTCTTGTCAAAGCTGATGTCTGACAGAATTGAGCCAGATTCATCTATTGTAGACAGCCTAAAAATCAAAAATGAGAATAAACTTGTATCAGTTTGGCTTTCAGTCAGCCGTGGTTCCAGAACAATCTTACTGACTCAGAAGAGCTGTATTTCAAACTGCAATAAGAAGTAAAACTCTGTTGATATGGATGCAGTAGGTATCACAGATTACATGGCTGGATTGATATTTGACACTTACGTTGCTCAGACATATGTCGCCTACCTTTTGTTGCCTGAACCCCCCATAGAAACCTGGGGCCTGTTAAGAAAGGCAAGGGCAGACTTCTGTTCTTCACTCAGCTGAATACTCCCAGATGCATCACACATGAGCAGCTCTCGAATCAGTTGTATTTGCCGCTCCTGTAAAGGTAGATAATATCAGAAGCTGCCACAGAGCAAACTGCGTTTAATTACTGTATGAACCAATCCAAAGTGTTCGAGATACCACACAGATAGGCTCTTGGAACTTGTGTCAATAGACTGCTGATGGCTGCAAAGGCCGTGCTCTGACACGTAATGGCAGCTCAGCTCCAAACAGCAGCCAGTCGCCTTTTTCCAGACCAAAGCAGAAGGCTACTACAAGAAGCCAAGCCAATTTGTTGTGGTTGAGTTTTTTTCCTCCCCAGGAAAAAACTCATCATGAGTGCCAGTCCTTATTTTCCATTGATCAATGCAGTTTAATCACCTTGTCTCCACACTCTAGAGAGCTAACTGGTAATAAAGGAATTACTCACCAGCTTTTCACAGTCCGTTTCAGCTTTTTGCCTTCGTTTGATCTCCACATCCACTTGATTGCGAGCATGTTTCAGCTTCACATCCAAAGCACTACGTTCAGCTTCAGTTTTCATGAGAATATCTTTGTACCTGCCAAGCTCATGCTCCGTTTTCTGCAATTTTCTCCGATACTCTTCAAAGTTCCTCGCTAACTGAATAAACTCTGGAAAGAAGACATATACATCTTTAGCTACCGAGATGCAGCAGCCCTCCTTTCACTGACAGTAGATATCTATTAATATAACCTGCTCCCGACCGAAGAGCGGAGAAGCCAGCCAGCCTTTCGGCAAACCCACCTACACTCTAGATGTTCATGAGATCTTGCAGTTTTTCAGACCGAGTCTTTCATGTCAGTATCAACCAGAAGAGCTAGAACATGAGACCCTACGTGGATGAAGTCAGCTTGCTACAAGCAGAATGTGGCCCTGCCTAGAAGTACAGCCTGTCACTTCATGTTTCTTGACAATGAAAAAAAGCCTCAAATCTGACTACCTGTAGCAGTCTTAGCACCCATAACATCATCAACAGATTCTTCAATAATAGCTAATAAGGTTTGCTTGCATGTTTATATTCTTATAGCAAACACAGCACAACCTGCTTCAGAAACAGAACTTACGGCATTCGTTTCCTTCACTTAAAACTTCAGCCTGGCGTACAAGTTGATCATACAGACCCCGTAAGTTCACCATCGCAGTCTCCATCTTCCTGCCAAGAAATCAGAGCTAAATAAACAGCCCAGCCCTTTCTTCCCACCTCCAAACAGAAAATGTGTTACCAGCCCAAAGAAAAGAGAATCAACTTCAGAATTAATGATTTTTTTTTTCAGGTGAGTTTGAGAAGCTGCACAAACACAAATACATTACGAGTTATCTTTTATGGAGATATATGCATCTAGAGTCTTTCCTAGGGAAGGAAGATCCTCACCCCTCCACAGCTGATGGATAGCAATCACAGCTGAGAGGCAGCATAGCTCCCCACCCAATTGCTTCAGATAATCTCCGGTGTACTATAGAGGCTCAGAACCCAAGGTAAAATGAAGGATCCCAAACCATTCTCTTTCTGGAAGGCTGCAGAACACAGCTCATGCCCTATCTACGAATAACTTGGTACTATATAGGCCACTAAAAATCTGCAAGTTTTCAGAGTTTCGTAAGATAAAAATAGGAGCAACATTCTGGGGAATTTTAATACAGTTTTAAATTTAGCTGCATTTTAAGTTACAGCTCCCACTGCAAATAGCTGTTAAAATTCAGACAGTCAGCACATTTTCCTCAAACAGTAGCAACAACGGCATAAACAGAAGCAATGAAGAGGAAAGTCTCCAGCTCAGCAACACAGAAATTACTTCGCTAATGCAAGAGGTTGCTGGGGCCCACAGGAACAGCCTTGACTAATAAGCTAGCACTAGAAGCAGGTGCAGACATGGTTGGGAGAGGTGCCAGGAGGGAGTGCAACCCACCGGCTCAACACTCAGGAGGGGCCGTCGTGGAAAGCTCTGGAGCACTCTATTCACAGCTACAGACACAGAGGTTGTCTCGGGACTTTCTATGTTACGTGGCCTACAAGGTGTGGAAAAGCTCTCTACTAAAAGACCCTCCTCTGTTCCTCGTAGTCTGCTTGATTCACGGCAAGGAGCACTTCAACAGTTTCGTGCCTTAATTACCAGCACCGCGATCATTAGCCCCACGCCCAACTCGACGGCAGAACCCGCGGA